GTACGTAAGAGTTTTTCGTGAGCTCTGTAGAAATCCTCCGACCGCTCTCCACATTTTATAAAGAGAACATCATCGATACGAATAGAGAGGTCTGATCGAGTGATACCATCTTGCCCCAGCTCTTCAGCCATGGTGAAAGACATGGGAGTGATAGTAGACGGTCGGCAAGCACATCACCTTCGGTTTCTCGATGATGTTGTGCTTGTTACAGTGAACATGGAGCAGGCTGTGCTGTTGCTGTTTGATTTCGGTTCCGTGCATGAAGAGATCGCATTGCAGTAAAACTGGCAAGTGGGAAGTGTGTAGGAACCAGGGTGAATATCGGTCGAGGAAATCCTCGACAGGGGGTCGTACCTGTCGGGCTGGGTCATGGGGGGTCGTACTCTTGGGGGTCAGTAACAGCAGTGGTATCGTGGTGCAGATAGGTAAGAGGGTATAGCGCAGCAGAAAATGAAAATATCTGAAAAAACATGATATTAAATATTTTTGCAGGTTCACTCGCTCCATTCCTCTACCGTTATCCTCTTACCTCTTCTATCTACCGCGGGCTCCTTCTCCCTTAATACCTCGTTGAGAATGACACTGTTGTTAGGGACCCTGTCGCAAAAACGACAACCGTGAAGGAAAGGCCCTGGGCAAATGAAGCTGTTCCTTCAGGTTGTAGGAGTTACGAAATGTGTTTACTACAATGCAGCTTCTGTCAACTGGTCATGATCATATAACACCTTCAATCGATTCTGCAACTTCGAGTGAGGTCGGATGCATGGCCTATACCCAGACAAAATCGGATGATGACGATTGCCCCTTTTCTTATTGCTTATGTTGGAAGAATGTATTCTAGACACATTTCGAGCGTTGCCAACGAATTACACTTGCAATGGTGAAGAAGGGAGCGGCTTTTTGAGCGGCCGAGATAGATCCTCGACGCAATATCTCCTCAACTAGAGAACGTAGAAGGAAGCTAAACATACTGTTAGAAAGCGCAAACCTTCCGCTTTCCAAAACTGTCTTCGTTTTTTCAAGATCTTGCGAAATTAGAGAGATATTGCCTTTTAAGTGGCAAAAACTCGCATGAAAATTTCAGCATCCTCGACGCTCCCTCGACGGATTTTGAGAGACTATATCTCTTCGAATGGAAGGCTTTCATAGCAATTCCAATACTGCCTGATAGTAGCAAATCTAGCTCTATCTAACCCTACCGCGTGCTGTTCAAAAGGTTGGGGAATGGAGGAATGGAACCTTTTCATCGAGATTTCGACGGTTTTTTTTTCTAGCAAATCTGACCCAGGGACAAATCGCGCCACAGCTGCCGTTGAATCGGCCGTGGATCGATGCACTCAGCTGTTGTACTATTCCTGCTTGCTGCGTATTAGATGGGGTTCGTGCAAAAATTCGACAAAGAAGGTTCGTACTTCTGCGACCGTACGTCCGAAACGATTTCACCCTGGTAGGAACATTGCAGTGAAAAAAGAAGAAAAACATTTGGCTCGCTGTCGATGCAGGGAGGACGATGCTTCGAATTACCTCTGTGCTACCGTCAAAGTGAAGAAAGTGAAATTTGACTCGTTTTTGCCATGCCAATGACCAGATCCGCTCGGGGCCTTCCACCTACGCTTATTGTCGAAATTAGATGGTCTGGATATTATAATGTATGCTATACGAAGTTATTACGGGAGTAGCATTCACCCATGGAACGATTCAGAACCCCTGGAGACATCAACGAACCAACAAGGCGACCATCAGCCACCACTTAGAGGCCTTCACGAAATCTTTGCACGACAGAGAGAGAAAAAGTGAGGTGAACCTTTGACAAGAAGAATCCATTGAAGTACTCAATGGTAAACTACATGCTCCTTCTCCTGTTCCAAGGTGATCGAAACACTTAAACGAGGAAACAGATAGTTTAAGTACTTACGGTGAAGCGTGTGGATACAGTCGTAGCGCTTCAAAGATACAGCAGTGAAGATACTTCATGGATAGGATGCTGTCAGGTAGGTGAACGGACTTGCGGCGTCAATCTCTTCCAGAAGCATTTCCTAGAGTCACGTTCACGTTGCTGAGGTGATTCTTCCGATCAACACAAAACAGGAATTCTCCCAAATCACACCTGCTTGTCCTCGTTTCTCGCGAGAAGCTCACAAACCAGCGTCAAAGTGTTTGCTGTTGTGTCAAATCCGGCTACTGCAATGAATCGGCATTGGGCAACAGTTTCCTGAGTAAAAGCAGTGTTCAACATAACATATTGCGAACATCTGACACTAAAAAAGCTTATAAAGGAGAACGCGAAAAACTTACACCTGGTGCCATTATTTTCTTCACTCCGCACAGAAGCCAAGTCTATTTTACCGCTACAATTCTCTGTACGGAAACCATCGAATGAGTTATCTTCCGCATCTTTGAAGAATTGCAAGAAATCAGACTTTCCAGCATTTGGAGCTCGATCACTCCGCAACATGGCAAGATGATTTACGAACACAGCCATAGGCGGCGTGGAACCCAGTGCAGCTTTCGATATCATCTCAGAACACTTTTTCAGTTCTCGAAGGAGCCTGGACAGCGGTGGGAAGCATACTGAAAAGGAACTCTTGAACATAGATTTCATGAGCAGTAATCATTCCACTAATGAAGTTATTTAATGCTTTGAGTTGAGAACACTTTTGTCTCACAGCGTGGGAACGAACGCGATCCCACCTGCAATAGTTTGCATGGTGGCCGAACCGCCTTATATAAGAGCACTGGTAGACTGTAGTCATCGCTGCACTGCAACGGTGCAGCTTTTCAAAGGCTCTCACCATCCCTTTGGGGAAGGGCGTGAGACAAGGCGACACCATCTCGCCAAAGTTGTTTACGGCTGCGCTGCAGTGGATAATAAAGTCGCTCGATTGGGATGAGAACGGCATTCATGTGGATCGACGGAATCTCTTGAATCAACTGAGTCGCCGAAAGTTAGCAAATCTGACAACTATCTCTAACTCAACACATTTTCCCCTAGGAGAAATCGATCGATGATGTGCCCTTCACCTATTCACGACTTCTTGTGAACACTCCGCTATTAGACTTTCCAAAAAGTGATTTCTTCCTGTGACTCCGCCACTCCTTTTTCAAATTTGGCTTTTATAGGTCTCAATGCGAGCGCTACTATGTCAAATCTATAATCGAAAATTTTTATAACGGAGGCCGAAAATTTAATGGAATGTTGTGTAATGGTCGTGAGAATAATTGGGATGTAGCCTGATTGACGTCCTCGTTTTCCAGGAGAAATACTCTCGAAACAATGCGGTCCATCCTCGTAGACTGGACATCTTATCACGTAGGTTTAAAAGACTAAGGGTTCATCTAGGTGTATATATGTCAGCAAAGTTGAGAAGGAAGTGTGTTCCGAAGTGCGCTCCAATGGGCGGAGTGTCCGGCAGGAGACCCGTCACATTGAGAACCGCTGGCGTTTCAAATTCAGAATTGCCAGCAGTGTGCCCTTGTTACCGTAGTTTTCAAACTCCTTGTGCACGCGTTAGAATCCAAGACCAAAAACGTTTTCTGATACTTAGGAGACATGGAGAATATGTATTCTATGAGCTAACCATAAGTAAAGCGATTTTCTCGCTGTGAATGGAGTGTTGTGGGAGGAAGAGTGATGGTCACGCCACTACACCCCGGATGGGTAACCGCCTGACACTGGCCGTTTAGCAGAAAGAGCGTTGATGTTAATGAGGACAGAACCGATGAGTCTCGCATCAATGCCGAAATCAAGAGGCAGTGAAGGAGACCCATTCTCGGGTTTTCGGCTGCTTTTCTTGATTTTTCTTCATGTCCATCATAAAAGCCTCTTGTTTTCTAATAGGCCGCCTTTTTATCATTAACTCCATTTGATCCGCCGCCTCGGCTTAAAATGGCCTTTACTATTGCCAGTTTCATAGCCCGAAAAGTCGAAGGTGTATGGAATCTGTCCTCATAACTCAATTCTGCGCTGGGAGTCCATATTTCAGAATAATGAACAACACACGAATCCTGTCCGTCAACCCGTCAGCGAATGATTAATCAAAGAGCACTTGATTTGATACACACCGTGCACCCACTCATCACGTGAAGGACGCGTGAACACGTATAAACATTAGTCGTGATGTAGTAGCTGTTTAAAATTTACTCCTCCTAACTCAAGTTTCATTCTAGGTTGATTAAAATAAACGCAGCATTGTCCTATGGAACATTTCAAGTTTTTTCAGGAAGATAGGATAAGGATAAGGATAGGAATAAAGGGATAAAGGAATAAGGATACAGTAATAAGAGGACAGGATCATTCCTGCCCTGTTTGGTCGCACCCATATGTGGCCAATACAATGACTTGCGGGGGCCGTCGATGTACAAGTCAGTGTTTTTATCCTCCCAGACAAGTCTGGTACCAATTAACCGACCACGGGGGAGGTTGGCCCGGGCGACTCACGACCCAGGATTTGATCCCTGGACCGCTCCCGTGGTAAGCGTGCCACTGCACCGCTTCCGCCCTGAATGCTTTATCCTTTCATCCCTTTTCTGAAACATCGGATGAAATTCGGGGATGATTGACGGGAGCTGGTTTTTCGTACACTTTCGTCATGCTAACCTAGAAAATTCGGCCTCCCATCCCCATTGACACTGACCATTACTGAGTTCCACAGCCATCGAATTTACCCCTGGAAACGAAGTCTTGGGAGCAACTGAGGACCCAAGTTTACAAGCTAATATCTATTGACAGTAACTATCTACAGATTATAACTTACTATCGACCTTGTTTTTTTTCTCACCGCGTCTATCCCGCCAGTCCAATGGGAGCTAATGAAAGAGAGCTCTTGCGAAAATTGATAAGTTGAACTATGAACTTAAGGTGGTACATCTGGGGAAAAACCGACGACCAAAGCCCAAGTGACGAGATGTCTTATCGCCATTCGATCTCAGGATTGGGCGAGTTTACCATTGACATGGAGATCGTTTTGCTGAAGTTAGAAAAGTGATATCATGCCGACGAAGATCAGCAGTTCCTGCTCGACGGTCGGTACAAAGCACCCCAGCGCTATTATTGAAGGCTTGCGAGACCATCAGCAGGACGTCTGAAAATTGACCAATGGATCCAGACAAAAGCATTGCGAACATAATGCTGTTGCTGATAAGAACCGGCCCCTCGCTTTCTGCAGTGTCGGCAATTCATGACATCTAACATACAAAGTTCATTGGCGTACAGATGCTACACAGTCTACTGATGTGTTCTGCCCGTCTGGGTCAACGAACTGACTTCACCGGTATTCTGCTCGTAAAGCTTTGTACAATAAATTGAATTAGGACGTAGATGACGTAACGGCAAGGGCCGCCGCATCCGACGCGCACGGGCTGAAAGTTGGTTCATGATTCGGGCCCTCAACCTCTTCATCCCGCCAAGAGTTGAATGGCATCAGACTCTAAGGGGAGTATAAAACCCTGACATATTCATCGAGCTATCCATTAGTCCTAGAACCACAGTTGAATGCCACTACGACAAGTTGGCGAAGCGTGGGTGGAAGCGGTGGGAAGGTGAGAGGTGGGAAAGCGCAAAGTGCCCCAAAAAGGGACTGGTCAACTTATTGAACATCAATTATTTCGTTCTACGCCACGATCTGAGAGTGTTTGTTCTTCATTGACGGCATCTCTTGCGAGGGCAGAACTGCAAAGGTCCTACCGTACTTTCTAAAGTGGATCGTGCAGGAACGTCATCGGAAATATTTAAAATTGATATGCAAGAGCAAAAATTCGAAACTTCAAAGGAAAACGTAAAGAGAAAAACCGATCGTCATTTATATTGCATAAGCTTTTACTCCAGTTGAAACGTACTTGAGGCTGTATTCCAGCAGAACGCTTTGGGCTGTGGCTCACTTCCGAAAGCTTGAGAAAAAATCTTGTGATAACAGTTTTCGCCGTGGACTGATCGAGTTTGACCAAAAGCACATCGAGCAAGAACATCACTCGTGTGGTTTTGAAACAATCTGAAAAGTAATTTTATGTTCTAATCAATAAATCGATTCCCATAAAGAAATGTGAACATAGCGAGGCACTGGCGAGATGAAATTTCGGGATGAACGGTGATGATTCAAGGTTCACTGTGCCTACTGCTTATCAATGCAGTCTTCATTGTCAAAAACTAGCTGTTATTTGGGAATCCGCTTGAGCTGGGCACAGCACTGCAGATTGCAGGCTTTTTGACGCTGTTCTGGAGATGGAGCAAGTCGTTTGATCATGAATATGGTGCATTGGTGTGGTGGTGGTGTCCGTTCCTTCAGTGGTGCCACTGGGAACTGCTCCACTTTATGTGAGCTGAGCTGACCACGGACATTCGAATGCAGGCGACAGGCCCCCGTGACAGGCCGGCCTACGAACACCCACGTCACATCACAAATGTCAATGTCGCTAAATGAATCTCGAGATAATGCTACGGCGTCCGCGGGAGCCGACGCGCACTCGCAAAGCCCGGCGAGTGTGAAAAGTATGCGAGGGTCTCCGGTGCAAGGACGGCATCGGGGGGCAACTAGGCTAGTCCAAAAGTTCCGCAACGTATGGAAGACTCGCGTCGCACGCGCTGAATGTTGCACTTTTGGCGGTTCATGCAGTTGAACATCGATTAGTCTTGACATCGATGTGCCCGGAAAACGGCCCTAAGGGACGTCCAAAGCAGCGCTGGCTTGATACATTGCATATGGACTTAAAGTTAGCTGGTATCCATCCCGATCAGGCATTCAATAGGGAAAAGTGGCGTCAACACATCAGAAAAGCGGACCCTGCCACCAGGCGGGACAAACGCTAAAGAAAAAGAAGAAGAACAATTGCTGCAGTGAAAATCCCTTTCGAAATACTATGCGAAGTGGACCACTGGTTAAACTGGGAATAGCCAACGAAAAAAAACTTGAGCGATTCAAGCGGCACTCTGTAGTATCCAACACTGCCATAAATCTTAGCCCCTTTGTGGATTTTGCTCTTTACCTTCCATAAAATGACACTCCATCACCTTCGTGTCTCTCGGAGACGAGGCTGATGCAGAAAAAACAGCGTTCGTAATCTCTCCACTGATAAGTCATCAATATCGTGAATACAAGTCTTGAATTTCTTATCCTGTAACATTTTTCGAAAACGTGGAGCACGAATCGAAGGAGATTGAAAATGCAATGTTGAATAAGGGCAAGTGAATGCGTTATTGTGGGAGAGTGCCTGACCTAATCAAGCCAATAGCGCAAAGATGATGTGTGCCAACTGTGCGATACTAAAATCTATGGTGGTGATAAGTGACCTACAAGGAGATGTGGCAGCTCAACCGAAAAATTTGTCCATTCGCAGACACGATATCTGTTTGTTTTATCAGCACAATAAATATAATTTCAGTAGGCAACAGAAACCGTACAATGAAAACCTCAGGCAAAGCAGCGACTGTCGATATGTTCCATAAATTCACAATGGACGTGGGTGTCTGATGATACTGTCCAATTGGTGGAAAAAGCAGCAAAGCTCCGTCAAAAAAAAGACGCAAAAAGGTCACTTTTGGCCGTCGACGTTTGCTGTCAAGGAAGGGTAACTGCTAAAGATGGCTGTCGAATGACGAATTTACCAGTAACGTCGCGTTTGTGGGCGGACCGTTGTAGAGACACCATCGGTGAAGTTTGGATTTTGCTTCCAGTTGTATCAACCGCTGCTTGGCAAAAACAAGATCCTTCCGAATTCCCAACTATTTGGGCAGACGCTTTTCAGGCCCAGTGCTTTTTGAAGTCCTGCTCAGTCAACCAACGTGCTTCCATGTGTAAACTGCCAACAAACTCGTTCCTTCGGACGCTTAAGTTACTAGCTTCGTGTGACGTCACCGGTACCCACGCCACGGAGCCCGTCGCGCGGCAGAGAGGCATAGTCGTTGGACGAGTTTAGGCGCGTGATGTGCGATGTAGGACGTGCAATGGGCAACTCATTTGACTTGGCGCAAAATCTCTATGGTGCGCGCGTGAATCGTCCGCTGACTTCGCCTTTTTGCCGCGCGACGGCCTCTCTGGTGCTTCGTGTGACGTCCACACTTCCACAGCTCTCTCTGTGCTATAGTAATCGCTTCTTTTGAAGCGAAAAAAAAGCAATTAGTCTCTCGTTTTGCATGTGCCATTAAACGGAAGCCCAAACTGGTGATGATATCCTCCCTTCGCGCTATTCGGTAAGGAAAGTAGGGAGGGGGCGCTAGTGTACGGGGAGGAAGAATCGTAATATGGCCCTTTAGAGAAAAAAATTGCCTATACATCACTCCCCTATTCCCTCCTAAGGCCTAGTCTTGGGGGAGGGGTATAGAGGGAGAAGGGCAAGACAATGCTTTTGCCAGATGTGTATATGTGTCACAAACACACATATCTAGCAAAAGTGTTCGTGGAACTTGCCGACAGATATTTATTGCTATGTGACAAACCTTCAAAGTTAGTAGAAATTATGTTTAACCCATTCCGGACCACCTGACACCCATGGGGTGTCAGGCCCAATTTGCTCCCTGTGGCCGCCTGACACCCATGGGGTGTCAGGGCTGATTTTTCCAAGGATTCGGTTTTTCGACAAAATGTTTGACCAAAAACTAAATGGACTTCCACTTTGAGCTCAAAGAAAACAGTTATAATTCATTTGAAAACACTTCATAAAAAGAATTTATGAAATATCGTGCACGCCTATCTGATGCTATTGACTCCAAGCGTTTCAGGCACTATTCTGGTCCCTTTTTTCCCTCCACAACTTATTTTGAACAATTTTCGTCCCTCTTTACCTTTTTATGGCCCTATCACTTCTATTACATGACGGTTTACTGTCATATACTTTCAGACATGACAAAGACAGTAACGAGAGAAAATAGTGATTTCATTGAAAATACAGATTAAATATATGATGTTTATGCTCGCCGCGCAGCACGCGACGATGGTAAGCATAAAAAGGGGCCGGCCACACGCGCCCGCCACGAGAAAAGTGCGCGGTCCGGAAAAGGTTAATTTCAAACAAAGATCACGTACTTGTGCGCGTCGATACCTTCTTCGATCGGAAGTGTTTCGAGATAGTTCAAAAAACTGACGACTGATTCCTCAACAATCGGAAAAAGCTGAAAACATTCAGTATTCCTGATTGTGAAAACTGGGGAGGTAGACTTGTAACAACTAAAAGATAACTAAAAAATATATACATAATATAAATATAAAAAAATATAAAACATAACTAAGTAGATTAGTTCGATTCAACTTGTTTCTATCATAAACATAATAACTTCATTGTAAATGAGGAAGAGAAATGAGGTCGTTTTGACGTTTATTGTTTTTAAAGCCTTCATGAAAAATGCACGATGTAGGCGAAACTGAAGTGTTCGCCGTTTCTTGAGACATGTACCTATACCTCCACCCCGCTCGACAGTTTTGGAGGAATTTCGGGGCGGAGTTGGAGTGTGTCATCTAGTCTCATAATCAAATATTAGGCCATGGGACCAATTGCCGTTATTGTGGCGGTAGGACGTGGTGAACGGGTAAGGTCGTGTCGGGATCCCGTAAAGCAACAACTCAAGCGAGATTAATATTTTGCGAGTGGTGGGGTTAATAGATGCTGCAGCTTTATTCGAGAACATAGGAACTGTCGCTGAATAAAAAAACTCGCCTACGGAAAGCCGCTTGAAGGGGTTCGGCTATGTGTCAACTTGTTTGACCCATCCTTTCCATTGAGCTGCCTACTTGCTCCCCGTGGAGATCGGTGATTGGCTGCGTCGCTGTGCGATCAAGCGAGTTCGTACAACTCGTCCGGCCCTCCCCGCCATTTCAAGGGTGCTGAGAGGGGATCCACGTTCAAGGGCTCCAGCGACGGTTTTCCTTGCTTCTTTTTTTCATTTCCGGTTAACTCGACATCCAAAAATTCCTTATCGACCGCTATTACCCAATGAGTTGGAATGGCGGATAGTTGGGCGTGAAGAATTTTGAAAAGAGACACAAGTGGAAGACATTGACCCGCGCTGGAAGGTTGGATGGGACTTGAGTTGCGGAGCATGTAGCAGGATCAAACCTGGCATCTACCCTCCCTTTCAAAAAGCGAGAAGAGCGTCGGGTGCAGACCATACACCACAAGTGACGACGGCCTCCAAGTAAATCTGGTTAGTAGTGTTCATAGTGATAGCTGATTTTGGTAAATGATAGTTGTAATTAGTGACAACTGATAGAATACAACTGCAACAGGCTAATCATTTCATTGGCAGAAAACATTTACATTTTGTGGAGGCCGTCGTCACTTGTGGTGTATGGTCTGCACCACGCTCTTCTCGTTTTGAAAGGGAGTATACAAATGGGGTTTTGATTCCACCGAAAATAAAACTGGCGCCAATCAAGCGACCCCGGAGAGATGGAGATGAGATGGGATGGCCTGAGCGGTCCGGAACTTTAACTCTGGACCTTGTGCGAGGCAATTGTTGCCATTTGCTACTACACCACTTCCACCATTTCACCTGAGTCATTATGAATTTTAGTTAGGCCAGACGTTGCTTACGACTGATGTGGAGATAGGCGATTTGAGAAATGCCGATATGGCTCTATATCTTCAGGGACATCCTTGAAATGGAAAAAAGAAAGAAGACAAAGAAAAGAAAGAAGGGAAAATATAAGTGAATAATGATGTGTATTACTAACCAACCTGCTTCATATTTTTTGTAGACATTGCTTCGCTGGTAATAGTACGCATTCTTTTCCAACGTTCACCTCTAGAAGCGAACATATGCACATTTTCATCCAATAACGGGTCCGGATCGAGCGGGTTTGGCTGAACGTCAAAAAAACTTAACTTATTACGCCTCCACATCGACTACATTACTTCATATTGCTGGAACTATGCTAGTAATTTCACCAAATAGCCCATAAAGCCTTACAATTTTCGCATGGAAGCTGTGAAAGCATTTCAGCGAAATTTCCTGAACCACGTCAGCATCACTAGTTACAACCGTGGGGAATCCTCCTTGCATGGCCCCAAACACAGGGCCATATTTCTGTGCAATTTCGCCGAACGTGGAATGTGCGAACGGAGAAAGGAAAACGTCGATATTTTCGCCAATCCAATTACGCGATGGTAGAACAGGAAAACCGCAGTTAAGCAATAGAGAGTGACCAGAACGCCGCCTAAAAAGAAATAAGATCGTTAGGAAAACAAGCAATTATTGCAGCTATTCTCAAAGAACTATTAGGAAAGTTCTTGTTGCCTATATATAAAATTAAATAGTAAAATATAAAATAGAAATACTTATCTGCATAAAATGAAAACAATAAGGCCAATCACTATGACCAGAGCGATCATAATTCATTGAAGCCTGAGAACTTGCCCTTAAAATTTCTTTTAGCAGTTTTATTTTAAATCACCTATTATTTATAACTGATTTGGTTTCTGACGAATTATTGTAGCGCACCTACGAGTGCATAGTAATAAATAAATAAATAAATAAGTAAATAAGTAAATAAATAAATAAATAAATAAGTAAGTAATAAATAAATAAATAAATAAATGAATAAATAAAATACTAAAGTGTTCACAATGACTGACATGATTTACCACTTCACAGTGGCATGATTTCCTTTTTTTTCTTTTATTTTTATCACTGCCACTAGGCGGTAGTTATCACTGTTGAGTCAGACGTGTTTATCACAGTGCTGCAGCCGGGGGTTTGTCGTTGCTGTGTTGGGGCGACGCAATCATTCAGTCCAGTTTCTTTCGAAGAGTACACATATACTTCAATGAATTATGATCGCTCTGGTCATAGTGATTGGCCTTATTGTTTTCATTTTATGCAGATAAGTTTTTATATTTTATATTTTACTATTTAATTATTATAGGCAACAAGACTTTCTAATATTCTTGGAATAGCGCAATATAATGTATGCTATTCCTAACGATCTATTTTTTTTTAGGCGGCGTTCTGGTCACTCCTTATTGCTTAACTGTGGTTTTCCTGTTCTACCATCGCGTAATTGGATTGGCGAAAATATCGACGTTTTCCTTTCTCCGTTCGCACATTCCACGTTCGGCGAAATTGCACAGAAATATGGCCCTGTGTTTGGGGCCATGCAAGGAGGTCCACGGTTGTAACTAGTGATGCTGACGTGGTTCAGGAAATTTCGCTGAAATATTTTCACAGCTTCCATGCGAAAATTGTAAGGCTTTATGGGCTATTTGGTGAATCATAGTTCCAGCATTATGAAAGAAATATGAAGTAATGTAGTCGATGTGGAGGCGTATAAGTTAAGCTTTTTGACATTCAGCCAAATCCCGCTCGATCCGGACCCGTTATTGGATGAAAATGTGAATATGTTCGCTTCTAGAGGTGAACGTTGGAAAAATGCGTACTATTACCAGCGAAGCAATGTCTACAAAAAATATGAAG